GGCAAAGTTGTGTCAAAAGAGGGCTTAGGGCTTCCCTGGTGGCGCAGTGGTTGAGAGTCCGCCTGCCGATGCAGGGGACGTGGGTTCGTGCTCTGGTCCAGGAAGATCCCACATGCCGTGGAGCGGCTGGGCCCATGAGCCATGGCCGCTGAGCTCCGCAGCGGGAGAGGCCACAACAGTGAGAGGCCCGCGTACCGCAAAAAAAAAAAAAAAAAAGGAGGGCTTAATTGTTTAAAAAAAAAAATTCTAAGCAAAAATTCACCTCAAAACCCATAAGGTTTCTAAATACATTTTGAAGCATTTAGAAGAAAAGAAGTCCTTTTGTGTTTGCTCCATGTTCTGGAAGAGCAAATAAAAAATGTTACTTTGTTTTGTTAACTCAGTGGCCACTCGGCAATCCTCAGGCTGAATGCCTGTGGATCGATCATCAGCTAAGCATGCGGATGAGTTGTGTATAGATTATTATAATCATAAAGTTATAGCACAGTCTGTCGGAAAATACTTGTGATAATTGGTTTGGAAATATAGTTTAGTAAAATTAAACATAATTTCAAGGAAGAGAAAACATTTTCATGAAGGTTTTCTTCATTAGAAAGGTGACATCATCCCAAGTAATTTAATTATTGTTGATTTATTTAACAAACCTCTGTAAGTCAGGGTGGGCCTTCCTTGCTGTGTAGGTCTCCTGACCTTCTTCACATTTCATGTATCTGGAGGCATCCAGCCTTAGTGACAAAAGTTGATTATGCTGAATCCAGATGTCCACCTTAAGAATACACATCTCTCTCATTGGCTTTTTTTTTTTTTTAACTTAACATAGTATGTGTTTTTAACTGTCTCATGACAAATAGATTTACTTTTTAATCACCACTGTTGGATAAAATTTATTATCACCTGAGTTCCATCCATCAGATTTGAGGGTACAACTCATGTGAAGAGGTAAATGGGGAGATGGTGAGGGGAAGTTTGGTGGAATAGGAACCCCAAGTTTGTAGCTTGCTTAGTTATCACCACAATTTCATGACCCTGTCATTTGAAAGTCAGATGACTCAATGGTGTCACATAATGTATGACTAGAAGACACAATAAGGAATATTCCCAGGACACAGTCAATTTCTCCCTTTTTTTCGTGGAAAAAGAGTTCACGGAAGACAACCAAGCAGTAAATATCCTAAAGATAGTCAAAACAGATTGGAATATAATTTTGTTCAGAGCTATTCAAAAAATCCTCTACTATGTCTCAATATAGGTAGCCTGTAGAAAGTTCCCAGGTGAGGATTTATCTTCTAAATGTAGACTTGTGGGTCTTTTTAGCTAGCGAATTCAAGCCACCAAAGGAAGAGGTCAAGAAGAATGAATGAAGTTAAGAGAATTGACGAGCTGAGTATCACTGTTGGGATTTTGTTTCTTATATGGCTTGCATTTGTGCTTTGAGATTTTTGGGATCTAAGAAAGCCATGCTGTTCCAGGAGCTTCCCAGAAGTATTTTTGGAGCAGGCCACACGGGCTCCGGAAAGAGAATGCATTCTATTTCCAGGTGCTATTGTAGAATCATTATTCATTTAACAAAAGTGTGGTCTTTTCAGCTAGAAATTTTAGTTCCATAATTCAAATGGACTAAAAATATTCTGGAGTATATCTAGAAAAAGTGTTTTGTATGTATCAATATGTTGTTTTCTAGCAATGTCCCATTCTGGATTAAACATAGAGGAAAACTTTCCTGTTTCTCTGTAGCGTGAGCTTTTAAATTGATATATGTGTATGTGTTTTAAGTGAATTGTGAAAATCAGCCCAATATAAAGTCAGTTATAAAAGTTCCCTTTGTTTCCAAATTATCTGTGTAATATTTACACCAAGGATGAATCGATTAAAAAAACCAAGTATATGAGGAAGGCCTTCCTGTGTCTCTATAATATATGATCATTGTTTTATTTATCACCAGTTCTGGAGTGTTTCTCAATGCCAAGTCCAGAAGTGAAAGATACAGTTTTAACTTAGAGTGCTGACACCTAGCTAGGGAGACAAACAAGGTAACAGAAGTCAGTGTGACAAGTGACAGGATACAGGTGAGCTCAGGCCTCTCTGGGAGGAGCAGCGTCACGAGTGGCCTGAGGGCAGAGGAGGCGAGCTGGGCTGGAGGACCACAGGGGAGTTGGCAGCACCGGGGCAGCCAGAGGGGGCAGGATGTGCAAAATAAGTGTGAGCGGCAACAGTTCATGCTCAGGGTGGCCAGTTTCTCACAGAAAGTAAGAAGATCATACATTTTATTTTGTCAGTTTCAACAGTGGACAGCCTCTTCAAAAGTGATCTTCTTTTCGTACATTTGTCAAAGTCAGGAGCAGGAAAGGGGTGAGGAAGGGCTGTCTTATTCCACTGCCTTTGCTCTTGCAACTCAGTGACATCCCCGAAGCCTTTGACCCCGCATCGTTCATGTACACGGGAAACACTTTTTTCAAGAATAAGCATTTTCTCAGGGAGTTTTTTGGTTCCACTTTCACAAGTGTCTCATCTCTTTGTAGCAACAAACCTTGCTCTCTGAGCTGTACTGAAGGTTCCTACTTTTCTTTCTTCAGTGTCGAATTAGGAAAAATGGAGTAAAAGCTTCAAGATTACTCATTGAACATACTATTTTTTACTTAATTTCAAATAGCATCTTCCCTGTAGGTGTAATAAAGATCTGCGCAAGTTAGAGGAAGGATAATTTTCAGTGTTCCTTTCACATTTAATCTTACATTGATGATCCTCGTATGTTACCTGTAAATGCTCAATTGGTAAAGCAGTTAAACTTTAATGGTAATTCATAATGGATTTCTGCAGCCACTTTTCTTTTTTTAGTTCACATAACTAGAAAAAAATAAGGGACTTAAGTTACGTCATGTTAAAATTGTCCTTCGTATTCAGACCATAAAAGCAAAAACGTTGTATATTTTTAGTACGTAGCGATCATTAATGGAAACAGTCACTTCTGTTTTCTGTTGCCATTTTATATTTGGTGTGTGCTGTTCCTCTGTGAACCTTTCTCTTAAAAGTTATATTCTTGTATGAGTTCCTCAATAGACTATAAACTATAAACATAGTCCCTCAGAAAATAATTATCGATAACTTCATTTGAATTGAGAATAAGAGAAAATAAGGTCTCTCTAAAGCCCCGGTGCCAAGCAAGAATATATATAAGTAAATGGTAAAGAAAAAAAGAGTTTAAGACCTGGAGCCTGATGATGTGGGTTTAGATTCTGGTTTTGTTTCTTTTTAACTCGGACAACTTCATTATCTAGTGACCTTCACTTTGCTTTTCTGTGAAATGTGATGGATATTATCTGTGCTTATACCCACCTACCCATCTACCTGCCTAATTAGACAGGGATTTCCTTAGCATTTAAGTATGTGAAAGAGCCTTGAAACTAAACGTGTTCTACAAATACTAGTTGCTATGGCAACGACTTACCAATGTACCAAATATGATTCTTAAAATGAGAGGCAGTACATGTATGAAGTTATATTTTACATAAACTACGTAGCACAGATTAGTGCCTAATAGGCATTCACCAAACAGGGATCCGCTTTCCCTCTTTGTCTCAGCTTTTCTTTCAAGCCTTGTTATTTCTCATTTGTCCCCATTTGCTGCTACACTTTTCTGCTGTTCTGGGTGCTTTCGAATTCACTGATGCTCTGGTTCTTCTTCCTGCATGCACAGGCCCAGAGAGGCAGTCAGACGTCAGGCAAATTTAGTAAAACCTCCTTCTTAGTTTGGACATTTGATTGTATGCACATTCTAATTTTAAATTAGCACATATATGGGTGGCTATTGGCTTTATATTCTGTAATAATTTAATTCATTTATAGCAGTGGAATTTGTTGAGGTACAAATGTTTACCAGTTTTATGAATAAAAACCCATATCATATTTGTTTTGCAAACAACTTCAACTGAGTACTATATTGTTTATTTGTATGGTTTTTCACAAAATAATGAGCAGTTATTTTCATTGTTTATAATAATGCCTAAAACTTATTAAGTGCTCATCAAATGTCAGTGCTTGACAGAAACGAAATCATTTAATCCTCACAATACTTTGCGGTATGTCTTAATTATTATTTCCCCATTTTACAGATGGGGAAACTAAGCCACAGAAAAGATGTCAGGAGACAGGATATTATCACAGTTAAATATGCAGGTCCTCGTTCCTGAGTGCCTGGGTTAATTCTAGTTCCCCTAATTATTATGTGTGCATCCTTAGACAAATTCCCTACACTTTATGTGCGTTAGTTTTCCCATCTGTAAAATAGGGAAATAATGACACATACTCATAATGCCATGAGGCTTAAACACTGGCTTTCCTCTGAATGACATTTTAGATTCTCTTAACCATATGTTCAAAACTCTGCCCACATATTGTTCCCTTTTCCTTCTTTTCATTATCAGTAGTATTTTCCATGAGGCAATTCTCGTAGACGATACAAAGTACTCTTTAATGATTTACTAACTTACGTTTTGGTGTTCAGTGTAAACACCATGGAATCCAAAGACAGGCTCCATCACATGAATTTTTGGAGCCTAAGATACTTTAGTTCTCCCCATGAGAATGTGATTTCAAATGAAACCCAGTTCTCGGACTTATTTCAAGTGCTTTTCCGCACGCTGAAAGTGTTAAGCCCCAAGTGGCAAACGTACAAGGTACCCATCCTTTATTATTATATCTTTACTTGGCTTGATTGTTAGTGTTCTTTTCCTCATTGTTAAATGCATTTAACAGCGAAATCTGTAACCTAAAATTGTTTCATTGCTAGAGATATTAAAACTGCCCTGGCTTGAAGTCAGAAGTAACTTTATCAAAATCCTAAGACTAAGAGCAATAAAATGTTGCATGTAATTTGAGTCCCTTTAGAAGAGCTTTTGTCATTGAGAAAATGAGCATGGATAAATATTGATTGTGTTTCTGAAAAATGTTTTCTCATTTCAAAAGTCCACCCCAGCTTAGCCGGCTCCCCTCTCTCTTAACAGGCACCAGCATCTTCACCGTGTACGAGGCTGCATCCCAGGAAGGATGGGTATTCCTCATGTACAGAGCCATCGACAGCTTTCCCCGCTGGCGTTCCTATTTCTACTTCATTACCCTTATTTTCTTCCTTGCCTGGCTTGTTAAGGTACTCTAAAAATTAGTACTCATCCAGTCTATGCTTTCTGACAGTTTCTGCAGATCTTTTGTTTGTTTTCAGTTGCCCTCACTCCCTTACGCCCAGTCTTGGTAAATGTGGTTTGTCATTTTCTTTCAGAATGTGTTTATTGCTGTCATCATTGAAACATTTGCAGAAATCAGGGTACAGTTTCAACAGATGTGGGGATCTAGAAGCAGCACTACTTCGACAGCCACGACGCAGGTACAGTATCCGGAGATGATGAGTAACCCACTCGAACTGGGCGTGTCCCTCTGCACCACCCTGGAAATGGATGGGACTTGATGGGACTTGAGAAACCCTGTTATCACCAACTTCTGCAATCAGATTCACTGAGGGAGCTGCTTAAAAATACAGGTGCAAAGCCCCAAACCCAGAGCGACTAAATCAGATTTTCTGGATGATGGGGCAAGGGCACCTATATTTTTAACAGCCCCATGGGTGGGTTTGACAGAAAACCAGGCTTATCATATTTATTATGTACCTTCGATTTGATTCTACCATCACGTGTCCTCCAAGGACTTGCTGATAAAATATAGCAACTGTGGAATTCCCCATTTTAAAATATTCACGTAATTGAAACCAATATAATGGCCCTTATGTATAGGATTAGAATTTTTTGGAAGGAAAATTTATTTCATTCAGAATGAACCAATCACAATATAATAAATTATGAAGAAGACCCCTCCATCCCAAATGCATGCCTGTGAATTTTGAGGAATTACTGCCTATTCAGAAGGTTTCCACTATGCTTCCGAGAAATTGGAAGTATCCTAGAATTTGACTAGAAGTGGCATGGCATTTATTACATAAGAGGGCAATTCAGATCCAATGTCTTTTGTTTTTATTTTTGGTTTTGTTTTGTGTGTTTGTTTCTTGGTGGTTAGAAAGAGGAAGAATAGGTTTATATATCTTCTTCTGGTATAAATCTTAATAAAAGAGAGAGAAAATAAAAATTCCAGAATTGAGAATGAAATTATGTTATGCCTTGCAACTACTGCTTTAATGTTAAATTTTAAGAGAAATTTAACATAAGTTTGTAAATACTTACACGGGTCTGTTAGGACAAAGGTATCTGTGAAAGATCCGAGGTACAAATTTTACTTTGAAGATCTCCAAATTGAACTTTTAATAATTATATTTATATAATTACTACTTTTAAAATAATATATTATTTTTTAATAATTGTATTTATGCCTATGTATTAAAATTATAAAGAAAAGGATTCAGGATAGTGGCTCACTGGGAGTGGGGATGAGGAAGCAGAGGAATAAAATTAAGAAGAAGTGCAAAGGTAAAAAAAATTAAAATATTTATATTTAATAGCTAATAGTGAAAATGCTGTTAAACATGCTAATATTTGGAAGAGCCTTGTGCAGTATTTTTATGATGTTGTGAAAGTTCGAATGGTCTAGTTCATTATAGATGAAATAGGATTTATATTATTCAGTTTTGTCAAACAGCTATTCAAACTTCCATGAAAGATTTTTTTAAGTGTTATCTAGGTTATGTCACAGATGGCATGTAGGAAAACCTTCAGTGAGCCTGCCACATCTAGTACTCATTTCTTCTCTCATCTTTTTAGTGAACTATGAGAAATCGTAAAGTTCCAAGTCCATTCTGACATGTCTTTTAAATAGAGTGACAGCCTCGTGGAGGTGTGTTTTCCAGTATAGATATTGAGAACAAAGTGGGACATAGAACTATGAACTCCACACAGAACTCACATTTGATATTCCTGAGAGATGACCTAAAATGTCTTTGAAACCATATAGTGCTTATTAAGTAACTCTTAGTTGTAAAACCACAGCTGGAAAAGTGGTGTTTGGAAGTGCCACCGAGTCAGCCAGCAGTTACAATAGAAAGTCAAATGTGGAGAGACTGTGAACACAGTTGTACAAAATTGCTTTGTTGCAAAATTGTCCTTAATCAGGAGGAATAAGGTGGTAATTCAGACGTAATGCGTCTAGGTATTCAGCAGAGGTAATCACACAGAGAATTGTGAAAAACCTTCATTAAGAAAAATGCTATGGCTGAGGACCTGGTTGCTAAGCAACCGAAGCTCCAGCAGCAGCCTCTCTGGTAAAACACCACTTGGGCTGCCTGGCAACAGGCTGCAGGCCCCGCCCATCCCCTCGCCAGCCACTGAGCAAGTGTTCCAGATGCTTTTGTGTGTGTGGAAGGGAGAGGCATCATTTGCCGTGATTCTGTTACGTTTGTAAAATCAGAGACAACTCTGCACAAAGGCCCTCTCGTTCGATGGTTTAAAACACTAAATCACAAGTTTCTAATTCTAACAAAACAGATGGGCTTTAGGGAAATAAAATAAAGATGGCTGTGTATTGTGAAGCACACAGCTTTTCAGAAATGAAGTCAGTTCTTGTCTTCCTCTAGTATGTGGGACGTCTGCAGTTGTTCTCTGTAAGTTATCCTCATAGGAGGGCAAAGAGGGTCCTGGGGATGGTGGACCTGTTGATATTTCTAAGTCCCTGGACTTTCCAGGAGGGCTGCATGAGTAGAAAGAAAAATTATACACATTAACAGGATAAAGTAGGGGCTTTCCGACATCTTAAGAGGTTCAACAGGAATGGCTCTGATATGTTAAGAGGCAAAAGAGAATCAGTGATGAGAACTCTTTCTTTAAAATAACAAAGCAACCTGCCTCAGAGTCACAGCATAGAAACAAATTACAGAAAAACTAATGCCAAAGGTCTTATGGAGACCATAATAGAGCAGGTAGCAGGGAAACAAAAGGAAAACGACGTGGAAATTTGCAGATTAGTAGTCAGTAGTTTGCCTGAACTCTGATGGGGAAGGTGACTCTCGTACCTGCATAATCACTTGACACAGGTCACTGTTGCCACATGCTCAGTTATATGTTGGATTAAAGTGCAAGAGATTTGTACATCCAGGATATAATAGCCCCCTGTGTCAACCCACAATAGGACTTCCCATGCTACACATTTGTAGGGGTGTTGCCCCAGAGAAAGGTGTTGAGATGGGCCGATGTGCTAGCGGAACACGTCCTGGGCATCGTGCATGTCCGGTCCAGACTTGCACTCCCATTCTCTAATAGACACTTCACCTCAGATACCTGTTGCCAGTCGTGTGGTCTTCTGATCTAGGCTGATTCACAGTAGGAATGAGCTTATCTCACTTTCCCTGGAAGAGAACCGAAAGAACTAAACTTTAGGGCCCTGCAAGGCTAAGTTTTGTATATATAGTGACAAGAGACACAAGGCAGCATCTGGCAATCAATCCGTACCTAACTTTTATATACAAATCATGGCCCAGTAGGGTCATATTGAGGGATGGGTAAGTAAATATTCTGACTGTCTAAAGAGAGCAATAATTTCTGGGTCTGTCATTGTCTCTGACTGAGCACACTTGCTGGCCCATGTTTTCTGAATTAATAAGATACAAGACGGATAAGGGTGGAGCTGATAAAAGGACACAGGAATTCTTTCTCCTCTGTAGTTCCATGAACCTTCTCAGAATACGGGTTCCTACAATACTGGAACAACTTCTGTGTCAATGTGCAATACCGGCTTAAAGGCAGAAAGGCATAGATGAAAAGGCACATGATGGAAAATAAAAAGAATTTCTCCTCCATGAAAAGATGTGTACAATGTAATGCTCCAAAACAAAACTTTAGTAAAAATTTGTTTACTGCGTTCCAAGACTATTGGTTTCCACATGAATATACATCATTAAAATATGTGAGAAAGCAATTTAGTGAAAGCAATTTCTGGGAAGACTTTGGTAGAAGGTACAATAGTGAGCTCCTTCTAATAAGAAACTATAGTAATGGAATAATACATTCATCATAGGAAGCCATACATGAGAATTATATCTTGTGAGTCTAAGTCATTGAGTATATTATTTAATTAAGAAATCAAGTCAAGTGCCCACCCTCATTATTTTGTGTGATAATGACTATTACCTGTTTTTTTGTTTTGTTTTGTTTGCGTTACGCGGGCCTCTCACTGTTGTGGCCTCTCCCGTTGCGGAGCACAGGCTCCGGACGCTCAGGCTCAGCGGCCATGGCTCACGGGCCCAGCCGCTCCGCGGCATGTGGGATCTTCCCGGACCGGGGCACGAACCCGTGTCCTCTGCATCAGCAGTCGGACTCTCAACCACTGCGCCACCAGGGAAGCCCTATTACCTGTTTTTTAAGATGATTGATTTTGAAAGAACCCAAAGAGCATGGGAATTTCAAAATAAATTTTGGATTTTATTTTCATTACCAAATGTGTATGTGTGTCTTGGGTTTGGAATTTTAATTCAGTTGCTAGTGGTCACCTGTATTACCAAGATCCATTCTCTACCACCTCCCATTAGATAATCTGTTATTGTTGTCATTGATGATGATATTCTGCCTAAAGTACAATAGAACAATCCACAAAGCATTCTTAGCAAAATCAAGTGACCCTTTATAAAACGCTGGCAGTTGCAAACAGGCAAGCATGAGATGATTCTCGAGACTGAAACCTCCATGGATTCCCAAGTGATTGTACTAAGAGGAAAGTGCTCGTGTGGTTATTGGTAATACTCCACTAATTCATAACACTTTATTACAATAAATCACATATCTTGAGAGCTGCACTAAGCACTACGCTATTGACTTTACAAGCAATCTTATTTAATCTTCACAATAACATTGTGAAGTTGGTATTATTATTGTCTCTGCTTTGCAGATTAAAAAAGGACAAGGATTGGAAAGTTAATTATTTTATCCAATATTACATAACTGGTACGTGCTAGAATGGGGGCTCAAAACCAGCTTCCTGGGCTTCCCTGGTGGCGCAGTGGTTGAGAGTCTGCCTGCTGATGCAGGGCACACGGGTTCGTGTCCTGGTCCGGGAAGATCCCACATGCCGCGGAGCGGCTGGGCCCGTGAGCCATGGCCGCTGAGCCTGCGCGTCCGGAGCCTGTGCTCCACAACGGGAGAGGCCACAACAGTGAGAGGCCCGCGTACCGCAAAAAAAAAAAAACCAGCCTCCACAGCCATAAGAGTCTTCAGTTTTGCTCCCTGAGATCCTACCTCCTTTTAATTTGGTCATTACAGGCCCTGCTGTCAATGTGCTATCTTTTTTCTGGCTTCTCTTTTCTATTAAAACAAACAAAAAAAGGTTTTCTTGTTGACTGAAAGGTGGAGAAAGGGGTACTTTCATACATAATTACTAAGTGTGAATTAGAGCATCCTTTCTAGAAAATAGTTTGACAATATGTGTCAAAAGCCTTAAAAACATGTAAACTATTTGACAAAGAGATTGTACTTCTAGGAATTTATCCTAAGAAAAATTCTGGTCAATGCTCAAAGATGTACATTTGAGAATGTTTATGGAGGCGTTTCAGTAAAAAAGAAAGAGAAAGAAAGAGAGAGAGAAAGAAAATTAACTCTAGTCATAAATTATTGATTATAAATTATGAAATTAGAATAAATGCAAGCCATTAAATCATGATTGAACTTTATTGATATGAAAATATGCAGATAACATATTAATGCAGTAAAAGGGTCTGATGTTTATATGTGTGTGTGGGCATAATATACCTGAAAGGTTAACTCTGAAATATTAGGGGTGCTTGTCTCTGGGGAATGGGCTTAAGATTTTTTTTTACAGCTCATACACATTTTCTAAGTATTTAATAGTAAACCTATATTAATAATATAATGAGAGGAGAACAGTTAGTATCTTTAAAACTGAAATAAATCATTGGACATTCAAAATGAAGCCACTTGTGTTAACTTAGGTTCAGCTGCAAGGGACAAAAAGCCCCAAATAAGTGGCTTCTATAAGATAGAGTTCCTTTCTCTGTCATATAAAGTTGGAGGATGTCATTCAAGGTTGTTACAGTGGTCTGTGTTGCTATAGATCCAGAATCCTTCTACCTTTTTGCTCCACCTTGTATCACTTCCATTCCCCAAATTGCCTCCTGGACTAAAATGGCTGCTGTAGCTCTAACTCTTACATCCATATTCCAAAGAGCAGGAAAGAAAAAAATAGAAAGTTTCTGCTTTCATTTCATAGACCAGTGTGTATATATAATTACATTGTCAAGATGAGCTTCAAGAAAGGGAAAGAATGTCCTTTTTTTTGTTTTTGGTGGCCATAAAATTTTTCGTAGTTTGTAAGACAAGAGGAACAGATATGTGGAGACCCCTGCCCCTGCCACACTCCCCTAAGGACTTCACCCTAGGATTCATGGCTCTGGATATCCCACCATGTGCCTCACGTAGCTACTGTTACATTAACCAATCCAAATGTTGTTGTATAATTCAGGGAACTAAAGAGAAATGGACCATGTTTGCATTTCCTTCACTTTATTTCACACAAAGAACTGACCTTGAGAGAGCACTTTTACTAACAATTAAATTGATTCATTTGATTTTAGTCTATTGGAAAAAAAATCATTTAACAGAGAAAATTAGTCTGCTTCTGATGGAAGCAAATATGTGCCCCAGGGATCCTTTGCTCCATGGTAAGAGAGTAGAGGTTGCTTGTACAGAGGGTTCCTACCTCGTGACTGGTGGGATTGCTTTTGTCTTTTCTCCTTAAAAAGAGACTCCCAGACATTTGACAGATACTTTAAAAGGCACTTATGCATGTTTGCGTCTCAACCAATGTATGTATTCTCAGAATGAGCCTATTTATGATGGATGTGCTTGATTCTACCACTAAACTTACCTTTTAAAATTCATTCTAAAGGGAATCAGAATCCTGTAAATGGGCAGCTGAGAAGAACCATTTGTAATTGGCACCTTGGATCAGAGAATCTTTGTGTAAATGTGCACCGCCATTTTGTCATTTTAAAAATACATGTATGGCCTATGAATTTTGGCATTTGTCACTCTCCGCCTCCCTTATTTTATAGAGGGCAAGTTTTCTTTCTGCAAATGATCTACTACCTCTGTTACCAGGAGTTTGAAATTATAATGATAAATCCTAGGTAATGGGATCTTTGCATCATCTCATGTTTCCATCAACAGTTACCCTTTTGAACACAGACGGGGTCAGACGAACACGAAGACATAAATATGACAAAGAAAATGTTTATGTCTGTGAGATAGTGAGCTCAGGCTGGAATAAAACAGTGAGTGCTTGTAGTTGGTGTCTTTTCTTAGAAAAATAAAAATCCTTAATTCTACCCTATTCCACCACACCCCTGCACATGTAAGGAAAAGAAAATATATATTAGTGGGAAAATATTTATAAGTGGTACATGCTTTCCAGTGTAGTATATTATTGATAGATAACTAATTTTTTAAATAAATCTATTTATTGATTTATTTATTTTTGGCTGCCTTCGGTCTTCGTTGCTGCACTTGGGCTTTCTCTAGTTGCGGCGAGCGGGGGCTACTCTTCGTTGTGGTGCACGGGCCTCATTGCAGTGGCTTCTCTAGTTGTGGAGCATGGGCTCTAGGTGCGTGGGCTTCAGTAGTTGTGGCTTGCAGGCTCAGTAGCTGTGACTTGCGGGCTCTAGAGCTCAGGCTCAGTAGTTGTGGCACACGGGCTCAGTAGTTGTGTCTCATGGGCTCTAGAGCGCAGGCTCAGTAGTCGTGGCACACGGGCTTAGTTGCTCCGCAGCATGTGGGATCTTCCCAAACCAGGGCTCGAACCCATGTCCTCTGCATTGGCAGGCGGATTCTTAACCACAGAGCCACCAGGGAAGCCCCTAGATAACTAATTTTTAAGGTGGTAGAATATGAGTAAGATAACCTACACATCCAGCAACCTGGATGTCTAATTCAATGACTGTCAGATTTTAGCATCCTGTACTATCCTGAATTTCATCATTTATGTCTTTTAAGCCAAAAGAAACTACTTTTTCCCTTCATAAATATGTATACATAAAATTTCTGCTGAGCAGATTAATTGTGGCTTATACAAGCTAATTTCACAAAGTCTTTTAAGTGATTTGTAATTCTCCTACCATTAAAATAACATTCCCGGACTTCCCTGGTTCAAGCCCTGGTCCGGGAGGATCCCACATGCGACGGAGCAACTAAGCCCATGCGCCACAACTACTGAGCCCGCAAGCCACAACTACTGAAGCCCGCACGCCTGGAGCCCGTGCTCCGCAACAAGAGAAGCCACCACAATGAGAAGTCCACGCACTGCAACAAAGAGTAGCCCTTGCTTGCTGCAACTAGAGAAAGCCCGCACACAGCAACAAAGACCCACTGCAGCCAAAAATTAATTAATTAAAAAAATAAAATAAAACAACATTCCCCTATTTCCCTGTGCACATTATATTATTTATCCTGAGAATATTTTTCTATTGGTTCAGTGAGAACCGTCTACTAAATAAAGATAAAAGTTTACCACTTTTTGTAAAAACACACCATGCTTTGGAATTCTAATTTTCATTTTCTCTGAGATGTTATATATAATAATCAACATAATGGGGATAAAATACCTACTTTTAAAGTCTTGTGGAGAAGAATATTTGGGCAGATACACACAAAGCATATGTAAGGCAGAAACGGCCTGATGCATAGCAAGTGCTCAACTAATGCAAGCTATAAACTTTATTATGATTATTCACTTAAGTTTGCAGTGTTAAAATGGAATGACTCATGTTCTAAATATAAAGCCATAAGAAGACAAATCTTTGATAACAAATAAAACGTAAAAAGCCACAGACAAAGTTAGAGTTCTTGATGTTCCATGTAAGTGTCTCTGACTCATTTCCCCTTTGTCTTGAAGATGTTTCACGAAGACTCCGCTGGCGGGTGGCAGCTGGTAGCTGTAGACGTCAACAAACCCCAGGGACGTGCCCCAGCTTGCCTCCAGGTGCGGTATGATGCCATTTCTAAAAGTCACCCCCAAAGGTCTTTGATTTGATTTTATATGAGGAAATCTACAGCTCTCCAAGCTCTAGATCCACCCAAATTTGTGGGCAATATTACACTCCATCCTGTATTCCCGGGACCTGGCATCCTTTTTAGATACACACTAGGGATCTGGTAAATTTCTGGTAAATGAACGCACACAGGTAAAAGCAGGCCAGTGGTAATGAATTGATGAAGAATTTTTTTGTCTCATTAAACCTTGTAAAGGTATTCTTCTGCAAAGGCCTGAATTGTTTGGGGCCGGGGGCAGTCAACATCACAATTCACTTACTTGAGTACCTCACCATGTACACAGGAAGGAAATGTCTTGAATATGTAGTCTGTTGTTCTGCGTCTGCAAGCTCTCCGAGCAGCATGGTATAATAAAGGCACTTCCTTAACAAAGTGCACCTGCAGCAGACACAAGGCGATGGGATTGCAGGGGAGCCCAAAGTCCTGGCAAGTGACCGGAGGATGGGCCATGAGGTCTCTGGCCTGTGAACCTTCTGGACTTACCTTCTGCTCTGAGCTCCCCAGAAAGCCTAATAAAATCCTTTTCTTCAGTGGACCACAGAGGCCTCTTCTCTTTCATGTGCCCCCTCCCTGCCCACCAATAGCAGTAACTCATTTAAAACAACATCACCTTAACAAGAGCGGCATCCCTGCCGTTCCTGGGCTTTTTATATTTCCATTTCCCTCCTCTTTAAGGGTGAAAACTCAAGCTGTCCCATGTTGGGAGCAGAAAACTGATTCTTCCTCCTGGAGAATGTTATTTTCTTCACCCTCTTTCTGTTTTCAGTTGTAAATCCTCTTCCTACAAGGGGACTGCTTCTTATAGTTTTTCACATTCCCCCCTATAATTTGGGGAAGGGTGTATCACCTGCTTCAGGATGAGAACACATCTTCTGTCTTTCTTTTGGATCTTTCTCCAGGTGGGGACTGGTGCATTTTAAGGATTGGTACATAAGTAGCAAAATACTGTCCTCTGAACCTCTTGTGTGGGCTACATCTATATGGCTGTTTAATCATATAGTTATTTGTTTGTATCCATTAAAAGGATAGAGCAGGGGCTTCCCTGGTGGCGCAGTGGTTGAGAGTCTGCCTGCCGATGCAGGGGACACGGGTTCGTGCCCCGGTCTGGGAAGATCTCACATGCCGCGGAGCGGCTGGGCCCGTGAGCCATGGCCGCTGAGCCTGTGCGTCCAGAGCCTGTGCTCCACAACAGTGAGAGGGCCGCGTACCGCAAAAAAAAAAAAAAAAAAAAAAAAAAAAAAAAAAAAAAGGATAGAGCAGAAAAAGAGGAAGAGTTTACAATGAATACTGATAATGTTAAGTACTATTCTCTGCTTCTCTTTCTGTCATATATTGGATAGTGACAATGCTGCTAATAATTCAACTTCTGTAGCTACCTCTACTACTGCTATTACTGTCATAGCAATAACAATGACAACCATTGTAGTAGCAGCAGCTTCTTGCCTAAAAAGTACTTTTACTTACATTATTCATTAATCCACCAACCGATATTTACTGACACAAAGATGGTCCTGAGCAAGAGAAGCCCAGCCCCTCCCCTCGTGGAGCTTACAGCGTACTTCAGGCAGTGAGGAGAAAACCCAGCTTTGAACTAGCAATCACAGGAGTGATGGGCGTTTGGAAGGAGTAATGCAGGATGCTATGGGAGTATGTAATTTGGAGTCCGCTCTCCTTGTCTGAGAGTCAGGGGAGGTCCTCGTGAGGTAGTGGTACTTTAACCGAGACTGCAAGCATGAGGCAGGGAGTGAGGAAGGGTGAGACTCAGTACAGCCCTGTGCTGCGGAAAGATTGGCATCCTCTATGGGCCTTTGTAGAGGTGAAGTGGAGACCCAGAGGGCCGCCTGAGTCTCCTGACCTCAAACAAACGGAGAAGCCAGGACTTTTACCTGGTCTCTGGTTCCTGGTCCCATGCTCTATCTAGCTGAAAAAATATGCCAAGGAAACATTCATTTGTAATAGAAATCAAGGATCAGGCCTGTTAGGAGTACCAAATCAGGGTCTTCCTATGCCCCAAATGCATTGCTTAAAATTTTAGTAAATGCTTGTTAATAGATGCCTCAAGGTTGCAGTCTGGAATTAGGAAGCGAGCCTCTATATCAAAAAGATTTGAGGGGCTTCCCTGATGGTGCAGTGGTTAAGAACCCACCTGCCAATGCAGGGGACATGGGTTCGAGCCCTAGTCCAGGAAGATCCCACATGCCACGGAGTAACTAAGCCCGTGTGCCACAACTACTGAGCCTGTACTCTAGAGCCCGTGAGCCATAACTACTGAAGCCTGTGTGCCACAACTACAGAAGCCCGTGTGCCTAGAGCCCGTGCTCCACAGCAAGAGAAGCCACTGCAGTGAGAGGCCTGCGCACTGCAAAGAGTAGCTCCCGCTTGCTGCAACTAGAGGAAGCCCGCGCACAGCAACAAAGACCCAACACAGCCAAAAATAATAAATAAATGAAAGAAATAAACTTATTTTAAAAAAAAAGATTTGAGATGGCAAGAGCTAGATGGCAATGAAGGTGTGATGGAGGGGCAGCACGGAGCAGGGACACAGGGAAATAAAGGTCAGCAGAGGGGGGTGGATGTTAGGCTAGCCCTGTGTGGATGTGGCCTCTGGGAGACGTGAGTATTAGGCATGTATGGTGGGTGTGGCAGCATGCTTGGTAAGTTGTATGGTTGATGGTACATGTGGTTTGAGACAATGGGAGAAGGAATACAGACAATTCAGGATGAGGCTCCATGCAGCTCAGCATCCCATCTTTGGTCCTGATGCTTTCCAGAAAGAGCTGATCTGTAAGAGTACGGATGAAAAGTGGGATGGCCAAGGGGTCACCTCTTTGTATTGGGCATGACGTGAGCTGTGACTAAAGAGAGAGTACATTTCCACGTCTGGGTGAAAAATGAATTAATTATTACCTTATTAAAGAGAAAAAAAGTAAAGAAGAAGTACTGAAGATACAATGGTCGTGAAATACTCACTTGGCTCTTACTAATGATTAATGCCGTCTAAAACTAGTTAACAGGAAAATTTTCGTCTGAACCATACCTCACTGCCTTGGATTATAATATCTCACTCAAAGACAAACTGTAGCATATATTACTCCTTTTTATTTTTATTCTTTCTGTTTGTTTTCTTTTTTATTGAAATATAGTTGATTTACAATGTTGTGTTAGTTTCTGGTGTACAGCAAGGTGATTCAGTTTTATATATATATATATAAACATATATATACATATATATTCTTTTTCACATTCTTTTCCATTATAGGTTATTACAAGATATTGAATATAGTTCCCTGTGCTATACAGTAGCTGTATATCTATTTAATATGTAGTAGTATGTATCTGTTAATCCCAAATTCCTAATTTATCCCTCACCTGCGCTCCCTTTGGTAACCATAAGTTTGTTTTCTGTGTCGGTGAGTCTTTTCTGTTATGTCGGTAAGTTCATTTGTATCATTTTTTTAGATTCCACATATAAGTGATATCATATGATATTTGTCTCTCTCTGTCTGACTTACTTCACTTGGTATGATAATCTCTAGGTCCATCCACGTTGCTGCAAATGGCATTATTTCATTCTTTTTTATGGCTGAGTAATATTCCATTGTATATATGTACAATGTATTGTATATATGTACCACATCTTGTATTGTATATATGTACCACATCTTCTTTATCCATTCCACTGTTGATGGACACTTAGGTTACTTCCATGTCTTGGCTGTTGTAAATAGTGCTGCAATGAACATTGCGGTGCATGTATCTTTTTGAATTAGAGTTTTCTCTGGATATATGCCCAGGAGTAGGATTGCTGGATTATATGGTAGCTCTATTTTTAGTTTTTTAAGGAAACTTCGTAGTCTTTTCCATAGTAGTTGCACTAGTTTACATTCCCACCAACATTGTAGGAGGGTTCCCTTTTCTCTACACCCTCTCCAGCATTTATTATTTGTAGCTATTTTGATGATGGCCATACTGACTGGTGTTAAGTGGTACCTCATTGTAGTTTTCATTTGCATTTCTCTAGTAATTAGAGCTATTGAGCATCTTTTCATGTGCTTGTTGGCCATCTGTGTGTCTTCTTTGGAGAAATGTCTATTTAGGTCTTTCTGCCCATTTTTGGATTGGGGTGTTTGGTTTTTTGATATTGAGCTGCATGAGCTGTTTGTATATTTTGGAAATTAAGCCCTTGTTGGTCACTCTTTTTATTTTTAAAACGAGCAAAATGTGAGTGTGTTCTTCTAAAATGACTTTTAAACTGTAGAAATAAAATAAAAAGTAAGAGTTTGCTTTAACTTCTTCCAACTATCCTCCCTCATTCCACTTCCCAGAGGTAACCTAGCGGTCAGCGTTAGAAGCCAGTCTCCTAAGACCCTTTACCCCTGAATTTAAACATTATATCTTTTCTATAAAGCAGCATTTCTGCCTCCCAGAGGCCCTGTCATTTTCACATAGTGTTTCCTCTTTCTAGAACACTCTTCTCTCCCACTCAGAGTTCAGAATTCAGCTCAGATGTCACTTTCTTAAGGAAGCCTTCTTCGTCCTCAAAGAAACAAATCAGGTAGCCCAGTTACATGTGCCCATATCCTCCTATGCTTTTCTTTTGTGTTTATCATAATTTTAATTTAAAAAATTTTAATGGTATAATTTGTTATTTAATGTCTGCTTTTCCAACCAGAGGAAACTCCATGACAATAAGAATCATAACGGTCATGGTCAGCATGTGAAATAAATACATCTGTGTTTAGAAATGTAATCTTAGGAATAACAGTTGAAAAGAATCAAAACCAATTCCTACCTACTAAAAAAGTAGAATTTATAGGAATGAAGCATTTGAACAGCTGTAATTAAATTGAATTAGTGATTTGGCCATTTGTTGGAAAAGATTGGAAGAATGAGGTAGAAGCAGTATCTGAGATGGTAAATGAGTGACCT